GATATAATCCATACAAAATCAGTTTATTTCTAAGTTTAAATATAGAATATAGATTAAATGTAATAAGTGTATAAATTATATCTTTTTTAATTCCCTAAGTAATGTTTGAATATATTTTATATTTATATGCTTTAATTTTAGTAATGAAGTAGGATTTTATTACATTTAATCTTTTAAAAAATGAAATCGAATTACTTCTGAGTACATTCATTCTGCCGTATTAAATATATAAGAGCAGTTCACATTCCCATTCTCGGATAGGGTATACTAACGGCAGTCAACACAGCTGCAGAGACTCGGAAGCAAATCAAACTTAAAAGTAGCGAAAGAACCCAAGTAAACAGGTGCAACGCGGTGGCAGCTCCAACAGCTCATGGGGCAAGTCTGTCAAGGTGGAGAGCAGGCGGAGTAGTGGATGTCTGACTGGAATTGGAGCTGGCTGCGGATGGAGCAGACTGGAGCAGACTTCATTGTTCCCACAGTTTTTCGAACGTCGCGTCAACCTAATAGACTTTTCACGCTTCGGTTTTAAATTGAAGCGCTGATTTTCAGCAGCTGATATTTTTACATCGTATTTTGTTTTTTAGTTTCATTGAATGGCGCAGATTTATTTGCCAGAAGTTTTGCAATTCGGAAAGTTTGCAAACGACTGACAGGCCAGCAGCAGATAGGCAAGTGGAGCTTGCTGCCAAAAGGGTAGGACTACGAAGTAAGCTGCAGCTTAAAGAGCCGAGTCAAAATCAATGCGAATTGAATTGACTTCAGTTGGGCTTGCAGTTGGGCAGAGTCGAGTTGATATTTGTTATTAATTGCTGGTCGTCGGAGCCAAAGGATTGCCAAATATCACCTATATATATACATATATATGTGCACGCTTTTTATGTGTGCCAGTCCCAGAAAAGGCTTGTGCCAGCAGCTGCCATTGCAATTTGTTTTGGCAATATAAACATTGCTTAAGCCCTCGGCAAAAACTAATAAAACAAATCGCATGTGCAGGCCAAGACTAGATTTTGTGGATATCTCTGGTCAATGAACCCGACGGCACTCAGCAGTGGGTCCCAACCCTCCGGGTCGACCACAGCCAGTGCCCGAGGCATACGGCCGGCTTACCAAATCGAGTTGGCAGTTTAAGTGCAGTGCAAATTGCGGGGAATCTGTAAAGACGCCGCCCACTTCACCCCTGCCTTCCGCCGCCTTCAGCTGCCAGCCCTTCCCCCTGGCCAAGGGTTGTTCCATCTGCAGTGGGCGTTGCGCCCCTCTGGACTATGCAATTTGTGCGCTTATCAGCTGCCGCGCCGCATTGATTGGAATTGTGCTCGCATATTTATGCAGCCGCCGCTTCCGACAAGTGCTTAGTTTTATGGACTAAGCAGAACTTCGACCCGAGCACTGAGCACCGAGCACAATCCGCAACACAACGACAGCCATTGACCACGGCATGAAATGACCAGACAAACAAAAAAGATGAAGCCCTCAGATAGAACAGAGACTCGCAGCTCGTGGGATGGGACGCGTTCTTTAATTGTGTGAATGAGCACGAGGCAAGACAAATAGAAATTGCTGAGAAACTTACAAAATCGCATTAGTCACATGAATAATGATAGTTCTCAGAAACATATACATATGTATGTATGTATGTACACAGAAAACTAATGATGTTACTGTAAAGTGTAGCGAATAGTTAACATACTTATTTATTGATCAGATACCAGGGCTACCGAATCCCCAGGTAAAACCTCTGAGTTTGTGTAAGTTTATAATTGTTTTACTTGGTCATGTATGAGACGCTTATTACGATGATAAGAGCTCCCAGTTACTTTAACTTTTTCTGTATTTTCTCAGCTTAGAAAGATAATTACGCGAGGCTAAATGTTACAATGTGACCAGCCTTATATACTGTCAGTTCTTGACTTCAGTTTCCTGTCAAATGAGAAAAAATTCATGAATGCTTTTATGGGTTATAGACACGCTATACCTAGTTTTCATTTTTGTTAAGTTCCTTTACTTACATGAAATAACAACAGAAATAGTATTAGCCATAAATATAAACCAATTAACTCATATGCTTAGGACTATGAACGATTAAAATAATTAAAATAATCTGCCAAAAGTGAGCCAAAAAAGTTTGGGATTAGATACAGGAAAGTTTTGTGGGATATTTGATTTATTTCAAGTCAAGACCCGGTCAGATAGGTCTTGAGGATGGTCAAGAAAGGATGGTTATAACCGTTAGTTTAGCTGAAATGGCTTTTCAAACGACTTTTCTTTAATGTTTTCCCAGGCATCGTTGATTATTTTCCCTGCCTGTAAAAATAGAGAAACAAGCAATTTCTAATCACTGGAATCGACTTTACCATAGAGAAATAAAACGTTTTGTGACTTTTATCTTTCTTATTTTTGTCTTTTGTATTCCTTTGCTATTATTTCTGTTATAAGTGGCTGCCGACAGTTGGTTGTTGTTGGCGGTAAGGTCAAGCATTATTATACTTCATCATAACTCTATTAAGCGGCCGTCCTCAAATCTCGGAAGCGCTTGTCCGTCTGTCCCACTGCGTTGCACATTTGTTTGCAGATTGTTATTATCTTTAACAGCGGCATACCCACAGTGAAAGATTCAGCTGCACATGAGCTGCCAGCCGCGGCATCACCCTCACCAAAGCACTCGACTTGACTCGTCTCGTCTCGACTCGAGTCGAGTCGAGTAAACTCACCTCGGAGCTGCAGTCTGGTGATAGTTTTGTCTTTTTACAGCCACCGCACGTCGCGGACTTAAAATTTTTACTGAATTTTTTTTTTTTTTTTGGTGGGAGTATTAGTTGCTGGTTTTCCATAGCTTGGCATCAAGTAAAAGTCCAATGAAAGCGCCATCAAACGGCAGCCGCGGCACCAGCAGCAGCAGCAAAAGGCGATGAGAAAACGCCAAAGTCAGCTTTAAGTTAAAGTTTAAAGACTTTCATAGCAGACGCCAGCGGCGTGCACTTTTAATTCGATTATTAAAAGTTTCGCATTACTTCCGAAAGCCTAAAACACCAAAACTGAGCATTTCAAAGCGAAAATGAAACACGACAAAGACATAAACATTTTGGGATGGCATCAGCTGCAGCGACTACTACGCCTTCAGGTCTCGTGCTGATGTTGATGCTGATGCAGATGATGATGCTGCTGCTGATGAGGATGATGATGATGATGATGTTGATGTTGATGTTGATGTAGATGCCGACGATGATGGGGCAGAAATTAGTGAGCAGAGGCTCAGTCTCGGATTATGATTGCATAGATAATGCAGCTCGGACGTTGTCATCTGATGGCGGCGCGTGACAGCCAAAGACGCCCCCTTTGCTATGGGCTGGGCGATCTCCATATGTATGTGAGTGTGAATGTGTGTCTGGAGGGAGTCAAATGATTGCGCTGCCGACTGCATCAGGCAATGACGAGTTAATTTTTGCGCCAGCTCATGCATTAGCTGAGCGCCCCAAGCTGGATGCATGCAGTCGGTCTGCCAGCGACTCCATTGTGTAACACTCGATGCGCTGGTGGCGACATTAAAGCCAAGGAGTGACCACATCGAGAAATGGCATCGAAAAGGTCAAATCGCTGCGGCCACAAAATAAAACTGGGTGATGTTCATTAGCGTGAAACTATAAAAGCATCGACAATGGTAAACTCTGAGTGAAACCAAAGAGAAACTTCGACAAAACCTTTGACTGCACTTTAAACCAGCTATGCATTTCCTAGCCTATTCCCCAGCAGCTCCCCCGCATTGGCTTGGCATCGGCCTTTGGCACTGTGTGTTGCCTTCCATTCCATGCCCTGTCCTAGGCCTGTGACTTTTTGCTCGATCCCTGGCCATGTTTACATCAGAAACGTGCCTCAAGTGTTCCTGTCACCGCACAAATTGGACATTTATTTGTTGCTAGAGGCCAAAAGTTTGAAAAGTGTTGGGAATAGAAATAAAATTTGCAAAAAGCAAAACAGAGAAAAACGCAGATAAAAAGCAGAAAAAGAAATAAATGCAATGCTGCCATTTCTTTGGAATTATATGGGGCAGAACGTGTCGAGGATTTTTCATTTCATTCGTAGCGCCAACAACAACAACAGCAAAAACCACAATAACGATTGGTGCAATGATGCAGCGTCTTTGTGGCGCCTCCTCAACAAATATGTTGCATTCGCCGTTGCCGAGTGGTAGATGGTTGGCCGTCTTTTGTTGAGGGGCGTGCCGCGATCCGCTTAGCTAATTGACGGCTGCCAACTGGTTTGGTTTGGGCTATACTACGAACGCCCACAGATGGATAACGCTCAAGCAGTGCGCCAAGCCGACAGCCCATGCAGGCGGTTTAACTCAATTATGCCACTTGCTGCACTGCAATTTTTCAATTAGTGCGGCTGCCACATAAGCAGCTCAGGAATTGATTCTCTCCATTAAATCTTGTTGATCGTTGATTGCCGATATTTCCTGAACAAGTGGTTGAAATTTTCAGTGCATGCTCCACAAGCTTCTAGCAATTCTCCTGCTCAAACTTGTAGCTATGATATGAACTCCAATCACGATAATTGCTAAATAATAGTCAAGAAACCGTAAAAACCTAAAAATAAAAGCAGCTCGAAGGATTTAAGGATAACATACAGGGTGGGACAACAATAAACACCCGATTTATCTTTTATTTCTTGTATATGCCATCGATTGGAATTTATTCTATGAACTCGATAAAATGATATCGGCTCGTTTTATGCTGTTTCTATCGCGTCAGCGAAAATAAGAAGATATTTGGATCTAGATATCATGAGTAACTATTTATATACCAAATTTATTCATTTCTCATGGACTATTCATTAAATCTAAATAATAGATTATTTATCAATTGTATTTACCATGTTTAAGTGCTATCAAATATCTTACTTGATACCGTTTCAAATTGTTCCCTTCTCGTTTCTTTTTTCTGCTCTAGCCCTCCTGTTGAATTTGTCATTATAAAACAATTTCTATTTGGTGCTTTCAGAATTTCCTTGCCGCGAATGCGCAATGCTGGTGGAATGCTCCACTGACTGCCGCGACACGTGCGCTCAAATATGCCGGACATGTGGCACCGGGAATGCTACTGGTCACCGCTGAGCCATGCGCCCTGGAGGTGCTCCGAGGCGCCTTTGCACGCAGCGTGCTCAAGCCGCCGGCCACCTACATCATTAGCTCTGTGGGTAAGTTGAAATTGGAATTTAGTTGTCATGGCGTTCGACGTATGAATTATTTTAAGATTTTCTGTTGTCAAAATATACAAAAAAAAAAAAAAAAAAAAAATCCCTATGCTGTGCCAGAATGAACGGTAAGGCCAGAAAGGATAGTGCGAGCTCGTCCGCCCATCGCGAAAAGTTGCTGAGAATCAAGAACGTGCTCTACTGGTGCCGGCAGCTGAATATGCTGCCCGAGGAGGTGCAGAAGCTGTCGCAGCAGCAGAAAAGCTGCCGCAGATTGTTGATTAAACAAGCGGAAGAGATGGAGGAGCGGCGTAAGGAGCAATTCAAGCGCTGGCAAAATATCAGCGAGCTGCGCTGGCTCATGTACGAGGAGCAGCGCAAATATAATGAGAAATGCGGTCAGCAAGCGGCGGACATTTCCATCTGGCAAATATTGTCCATGGCACAACACGAGTTGGAACAGGAACTAAACATATCAAAACTACTCGGCAGCTGTCCTCGTTTTCCGTCACCCATGTCTATTATGAATACATATCGTGCGTCGGGCGGTACGAATAATGTGCTCGAGCCCGTAGCATCTGTAATCATGGGATTGGGCTGCAATAGCTCATTAAACACGAGCCAAAGCAATGTCGGAAGACTATCGGGAGAGAATATGACGCCTATCGTAAGCCGACAATTGTCAGGAGATGGACGGACTCCAGTTACAAGCCAATCATTGCCAAGAGAGGAGCCAACTTCACTCGAAAGCGGGCAACTGTCGGAAGAGGAGCTGAGCCCATCTGAAAGCAGTCAATGGTCATCCGAGGAAGTGACTCCACATGCAAGCAGGGAGAGACTGACTCCACCTGAAGGCAGACAGTTGTCGGGAAAGGATTCTAGGCGACCCAGCCTTAAGCATCTGACAGCAGGCATACTGACGCGCATCGAAAGCGAGCTCTTTTCGGATAAGAAACCAAGCCGAGTCACAAGCCATCAATTGTCCAGAGAGGAGCTAAGGCGACTCGCAAGCGGACAATTAACACCTGTGACGGATCAACAATTACTAAGCCAGCCCAGTGGTGCAGATAGCAGTGGACAGAACACATTGGTCAACGAGCACCCCTCAGCCACAAGTGCAATCCAATTGTCCAGGACCTCAAAGCCTTTGGACTCTAGCGAAAGTGACGACGAGCAGACGAGCCGCCTTTTGACCACCGATGAGTTTGTCGGGATTCGCCGGGAATTACGGGAAATCCAGAGATCGACTCGTCGCTGCGACGAAATGATCGATATGCTATTTGCAGAATACCTAGCACCGATCACCCAAGCCAAGACTTCAGCAGAGTAAAGTTTAGTTGAGGTCCTTATTGTATTTACGGATCGGAAGATTCTAGGAGATCGTTTGAAATAGCTAGCGTGTGTGAAGAAACTGAATCCGAGCTTAAGCTGAATGCATTTCCCAAAAAATTTATATTTGAATTAATCGGTTGTAGTCGATATGAATATTTTGATTAAAAATTGAAAGTTGAAAGAAGTCGAACTGAAATATGATCTGCAACGCTTTGGTCTCAGCTCCCAGGTGGATAGTTAAACACAATTTCGTTTCTGCGCCTAAGAACTTGCCGTTGTGGCTCGTTAGCTGTCAATTAAGTGGACACCTGCACGCCTAATGCGACACTGTCAGCTAGCCAGCCAATTGCAGTCCCTCAGGTTCTCCTCCACCCGGCAATCGCCATTCGCCATTCGCCATTCGTTTGCCTTTTTCACACTCGCAATTCACGTTAAATGGCTGGCTTGAACCTTGTCGTGAACCATGGCTACCAACCAAATCGATGCCAAGCTCATGAATTGATAAATGGCCGGCGAGATCGAGTATCGACCGTCGGACATCGGCAGCGGCACAGACCAAGGCATAGGCATGGGCTTCGGCATCGGCATCACCATCAGCATCATCGATGGTCCACCGGCTACAACGTTTGGTTCATTGCCGGCCTTTGGCGAACTCGTTTGAAAATTAATAAGTTTCGATTTGGAAGCCCCAAGGAGGCGCCCAGTACAACGATGCCCGGCGGTTTATCTGTGTGAAATTCAATTGAGGAAATATATATATATATATACATATATAAATTGCACAAACAAGCTGAATGCCAAAGTTGCAAGTTGCAAGGAAACTAATGCTGCTGCTGAAGTTGTGGCAGCTAGCCAGTCTCTACCATGTTGTTAATTAACGCTTGCAATGGCGTAGAACCCATTAGCTCTTAATTACCATAAACATGACAATTCCATTCGTAAACAAGCAGCCAAGCAGTGCATTTGCAAGCAGTGCACGCACTGCACTTGCTTAGCAACAAGGTCGTTAGCCGTTAGCCGTTAGCAACTTGTGGCCAAGGGGGCTAAGCAACACTTTTGTTGCACTGCGATTGCCTATTGAATTAGAATGTAAAGTTGGGCAAGAAATTGCAATGTTTGCATATATGTATGTGTGTAGGTGTCTCCTGCTTAGCTATCAACTATGTATGTATAAATTATATATTTGACAGCAAAGCTACAAACAATAACAAATTGCATGCAAAACAATCAATCAACGGTAATTTCTCGCTCAATTAGACAGCAAACATGCCAAATAAAAGAAACAGAGAAACCAACTGAAACAGCAACAACAATAACAACAACAACAAAGCGAAAATAAAGTAACGAAATTAAATTCGATTTCGTGTTAAAGTGGCAAATGCAGAAAGGCGCTTGGTGGGGGGATGCACTGGTAGCCATTGAGAGGGGGGAGAGTCATCAGACATTTGCCAATTTGACAGTGGAATATCAAAATAGCAAGACAGACAAATGATCATTCATTGTTATTGTTGTTGTTAGTGTTATTTAGTTGCAAATGCAAAATAGCTGGAAAGCAAGAAAATGATGCAGCTATTGCTGAAGAGCCATTGAAATGGAAGAGGGGGCGATGAGCGATGGGTGGTGGGTGGTGGGGGCTGCAGTTAGCTGGTAGCTGCCTTCAGCTGTCGGTAACTATGATTGTGAATAGAAAGACAAACGTTAAGAGTCGAGCCGCAAATCAATTTCATCACGATTTCTCGTTGAGATGTTGCCCCGTTGAAAGTGAAATGTGGCCATGACAGTGGTTATAGTTGTAGCTCTTGTTGTTGTTGTTGTTGTTGTTGCTGTGCTGTTGATCGGTCGATAATCGCAACTTAATATTTGAGACATTAGCAAAACAAATCACTGCAAAATGGTAATAGCAAAATAAACGAGTGGCAAAGAAATGAAACCCAGTCGCATGCCGCTCACACATTTCTCACACAGATACTTCTAATGGCATTTCATTTGAGAATGCCGCACCGTTAACGGCTTCTCCCTGAGATTCAAGCCTGAGTCAATTTCACGCTGACAGGCCAAGTGCGAGAAGAGGTTAACAAACTCATCGTTAAAGAATTCGCCAAAGCGTAACCAGAGCAACCAAGTGCGCCAATATCAAGTCCACATCTTCAGCCCCCTGCTCCTGCTTCCTCCTGTTCCAGTTCCAACTCGTAAGTTCATATTAAACGCCAACTATCGTTCATCATTGTCTTTGGACCCATGGCAAGTTCATCATGCTCGCTTGAACAGCCAAAAGTGCGACAGTCAGAGTCACAGACCGACCAAGAGCCAGAGTTGGAATTGGAGTTGGAGTCAAAGACTGTGGCAGCTCCTCAGCGCCAAGCGTTGCCAAAGCGATTATTGTAATTTTATTGTTGTTCGCTGTTCTCGTTGTTCTCGTTGTTCTGGAAAGCCGCTTCCAGACTGTGACTATGACTTTTGCTATAACAACCCGCTGATTGCCGCTGCCTTTAATGAGGTCAACCCGTTTGAGTACGGGTTCGAGTTCGAGTTCGGGTTCGGGTTCGGTTTCGACTCTGGCTATGGGTCTTATAAGTGGTTCCGCTTCAGAGCTTCGCCATTCGACGGGAAAGTGTTCTCGCACGCCAAGAGAAGTTCGCTCGATCTCTTCCATTGTCTCCGCAAATTGCCAACATCCAAGCATTTCACACAATCAGCTTGGCTGACAGACCGCTAGACGGACAGGCGGGAGAGGACATGATCATAAATGCTCATCTAAGCCGAATGAAAAGCTTTTATGAAATTGCTCGCATTTGCTTTTTTGGCCCTATTGCACAAGAGGCCAAGACATAATAAAAAGGAGTTTCTTTTTTGTGGCTTTTCATTTCTGGGCAACGAATATCGACAGCCAGTTCCAGGTTCAGGTCCAGTGCCCCTACGCTACACAAAACTCATTGACCTTTAACACAGCCGGTGGCAGCGGCGGCAACGGCAACAGCGACGGCGACGACGACGGCGACGGCGCTTGGCAAGAGATTTCAGCCAAAAAGTGTCGCCAAAAAGTTTTGTTTATTTTCTTGGCCATCATTGTCGTCGTGTTGCTCCTTATTTGCCAGCCTCGCTGGGCTTTTATTGCGGCTGCTGTGGCTGGTGGTGGTGGTGGTGGTGGTGTTGTTGGTGTTTTTGTGTTGCAACCACGTAAATGTCAATTTGCATTTTGCTGTGCCTCCGTCGTGCTAAACTGAAGCGTTGCATAAACAGCAGCCAACATCAGCCCCTGTTGCAGTTGCAGTTCCAGTTGCAGTTGCCGCCGTCGCCTTGTTTTCAATTTGTAACTGGCCTGAAATATTTTTATTAACCGACGGAAACAATTAGCGTCGCCTTGCTACAAAAAAACATACACACACACACACACAAGATAAAACAAACCAAAACAATTTGGACAAAAAGTTGTGCATATAGAAAAATTGGTGGTATGCATATTGGCTGGACAGGCGTATCTTTTCTTTCCACTGCTGCGCTGCGTGGCCTTTTTCCCCTTTAACAAAAAGTGGAAATTGAAAATGCGCAAAAAATATTTCAGACACAAAATCGTGATTGTCGTTTGCCGCTAGACATTTTGTGACTGCAACTGCAACTGCATCTGTGAGTGCTCCGCCTACCGCAGTCGCCCCATATGCCGAGCTCCGCCA